GTGGAAACTTGAATAGAAAAGAGCAATTACAAAAGCTAACAATAAGATAAAAACAAGAAAAAAGTCTGAAGACACAAGGACATAGATAACAGAAGAAAATACCAAAATTGTGGTAACTGGAAAGCAGAGAGATGAGAGTTTACTGACTGAACACCTTCAAGCCAGCAGTGCTCAAAGTGACCCTTCCAAGAATTTCAGGATTTAGTGGTATCAGGATATTTGAGAGTGAGATGAAGATGAGGCTAAAAGCATGGGGATTGGTTAAAAGTTAGTTTAAAAAGAAGTTAAAAATTGATATCCCATTTCTACCCCTTGTGCCCTCTGGCATAAGACTAGATGTTTATTCTCTGGAGTAAAAAGAGGATCTTTGGAAGAGGGGACATCCAGCAGGGTTAGGGTGAGAATACTGTATTATATATGGAGGGATTAAATGAAAGTTCATATATTACATTTGATGCCCCAGTCCTCTTCCAGCCATCTCACCAGAAAGCCGACACCCTGTATTTGTGCTGAGTGGTGAAGACCAGTGGTCTGTTCTACAGGTAATTTTATTGGCATCTCCCCAAGTTGATCCCATCTGAGGCCACAATAAAAAAGTATCACCTGCAAGCCCAGAACTTTCAATACACTTTTTTCCTGCCCTATTTTAACCTTTGAGCAGAAAAACATTAGTTAACAGAAATTAAAAGAAAGCAATTAGTATGAAGTGACAGAGACCAAAACAAACAGAAGGAAGCAATTGAAAGAAATAGGTTATTCTTAGATAAGAATATTTGAAGGCCATTAGTAAAATTGTCAATTTTGGTCTGTACTATATAAATATATCATTTTGTGTATTCATTTTGGGATCTGCATTATTAGCATTTGGGTCACTGGCTAAGGGCTGACTTATAACTATTATGTACATGGCAAAAAACTGTAATAAAACTGTACATATTTATAAATTCATTGCTTTATAATGAATAGCATTAAATAGCTTTCTGATGGTATTAATCCATAAAACCAATGATCTTAGTAAACAGAATACACTATCAACAAACCTTCATTTTTTTTATTGAGAACAGCATTATCATTTTTGAGAAAATACAAAATCAGCACTGTCATGTTTGATATAAAGTTTCTTATTTCACATGCCTTCATATTCCAGGCTGGGAAGAGATTGAAAATCCTTTCATTCTTAATTATAAATTAACTTCTAAATGTGTTTGTAGAATTTTTTTTTTGAGACAGAGTCTCACTGTGTTGCCTGGGCTAGAGTGCCATGGTGTCAGCTTGGCTCACAGCAACCTCAAACTCCTGTGCTCAAGCAATCCTCCTGCCTCAGCCTCCCAAGTAGCTGGGACTACAGGCAGGCACCACTATGCCTGGCTCATTTTTTCTATGTATTTTTAGTTGGCCAATTGGTTTACTTCTATTTCTAGTAGAGACGGGAATCACACTCTTGCTCAGGCGGGTTTCGAACTCCTGACCTTGAGCGATCCACCTGCCTCAGCCTCCCAGAGTGCTAGGATTATAGGTGTGAGCCACTGTGTCCGGCCCCTGTAGATTTTTTTCTTATTTTTATTCTTTTTCTTTCTTCTTTTTCTAATGTTTGTAGAATTTTGATCATCTGTGAGTGTGTTGACAGATCCATTACTGCTCAGAAAGTTTTGTAAGGATGGCTGCTTTATTAATCACCGAGTTACTTATGTCTCTATAATTATTACCTTCTTGATGGACCAGGAATGACCCTTCTGCTGGTTTAAAGGCTATATAATGTATGAGGTGCTTTACTAAGACAGGGCAATTCATTTAATTGTTGGGCACCATGTGTTACCTTGGTCTGAGAACACAAAACACAGAACAATTTGTATATTCTAAGAATTAATAGGATTATCTCATGATAGCTTCCAGAAGACATAATTTCCAAACTGACAATAACTATAAAGACTTTTTAAGGGGTCATTCATTAATAAGTTTCATATAACTATAATTTTAGCTACTGTTCATATAAAATAATTTAGTCATAAAGTCTAAAGATGATTTCATATAACTTTTTCAAGAACAATAGTTCCCTAAATAAGATAATCTGCTTCAATCAAGGATACTTTTTTTTGAGACAGAGTCTCACTCTGTTGCCTGGGCTAGAGTGCCATGGCCTCAGCCTAGCTCACGGTAACCTCAAACTCCTAGGCTCAAGCAATCCTTCTGCCTCAGCCTCCTGAGTAACTGGAACTACAGGCATGTGCCACCATGCCCAGTTAATGTTTTCTATATACTTTTAGTTGTCCATCTAATTTCTATTTTTTTTTTCAGTAGAGACCAGGTCTCTATCTTGCTCAGGCTGGTCTTGGACTCTTGAGCTCAAGGGATCCTCCCGCCTCAACCTCCCAAATAGCTGGGACTACAGGCACACACACAATGCCCAGCTAATTTTTCTATTTTTAGTAGAGACATGGTCTCAGTCTTGGTCAGATTAGTCTCAAACTCCTAACCTGAAGCAATTCTCCTGCTTTGGCCTCCCAGAGTGCTAGGTTTACAGGTGTGAGCCACGTGCCCAGCCAAGAATACTTAAATCTTAGAATGCTACACTAAAAAAAAATTGTGCTCAGTAATCTAAAGCAGATAAGTAAATTATTCAGCTTATAATGTACATTTTTTTAAAGTACATTCTAAAATGATAGGTTTAGGTGTGATGATTTGTAATTGCATGGATATATAATTTGTATTAATTATTAATCTATATGATATAGAAAATAAATATTGAATTCAACAAATACTCTAGATATTTGTTGAAAATACGGTAGGTATTGTTGAAAAACATAAGACCTATACTATGTGCTATACTTCCCAGAGTAAGAAAGATAAATAATGTGCCTTTTGGGCCTTATCCTTTTGGATAATTTCATTTTTCTCCTCTCCCCTCCTTCCTGTTCCCTTTCTCCCTTTCCCTTTCCCTTTCCTTTTCTTCTCTTTCTCTCTCTTCCTCTTTTGATTTCAGACAGGGTCTGGCGCTTCCCTGTTGCCTGGGCTACACTGCCCTGGAGTCATCAATCATAGCCCAGGGCAACTTCAAACTCCAGGGCTTAAGCAATCTACCTGCCTCAGCCTCCAGGCACCAGCCAACCATGCCTGGTTACTTTTGGGCAATTCCTAAGATTTGCTCTAGTAAGTATCTGAAATGGCTCCTGAAGGGTGGTTTGATTTCCATTGGAGGAGACACTAAGGGTGGCAACTTTATCTTAATTTTTTCCCCCATGCAGCCAATGGAAGGTGTAGCAACTTTATAACATGTGTGTGCTACTATGAAGCAGTCAATACTAAGAAAAGTTCTCATAAAACAGTGTGGAATAGATAGAACTTCAATATTTGATCTCTTCTACTTAATTTCTTTCTTTCTTTGATAAAAGACAGTGTCTCACTCTGACGCCCAGGCTAGAGTGCAGTGGCGTCATCACAGCTCACTGCAATCTCAAACTCCTGGACTCCTCCTGCCTCAACCTCCCGAGTAGCTGGGACTACAGGAGCATGCCACCACGCCCGGCTAATTTTTCCTATTTTTTGTTCGGAGGTGAATCTGGCTCTTGCTCCGATTGCTCTGGCCTCAAGCAATCCCTCCCACCTCATCCTCCCTAAGTGTTAGGATTAGGAGTGTGAGCCACTGCGCCCTTCCACCACTTAATTTCATAAAGTATAATATGGTGAGTAAAAAATTAAATTCCAAAAACATCACATTCCAAATATTACGTACATGCAATGATATCCAACCATAATAGGAAGTTTCTAGCCGTTACTCATGTTGTCTGACATCTCTATCTATACTTGGACTCTTCTTAAGTAAACCAGGATTCCACTCAAATCAAGTTAGATTTGAATCACTGTAGTGAGGCTCAGGCATTGGTATTTGTAAACTGTTCTCCAGGTAATTTTAATGTGCAGCCAGGATCACAACCCACCGGGCTAAATTGCAGTTGCGTGATTTTGGTCTTCCAGCTAACTTATTTTCTCTGCCCTTTCTCTTTTCTGGTTCAATAAATAATAATGTTCCAATATTATTTTTATTAGTTTCCACTTACTGAAGACTTGCTACGTGCCAGGCACAGTGCCAGACATTTTTTGTGCAGTATCTCATCTCATTTTCACAGCAACCCTCCGAGGTGGGTGCCATTTCTGAGTCACTTGCCCAGTTACTGCCCGACTGGAGCTCAAGTGCAATTCACTGCGCCTCGCTGCTTTTCTCTAATCCACTTCCGACATGAAACTGTTGTGCCATCTAAAGTCTCTCCGCAGTTACAAATAAACATTATCTGGGAAACGCAAGTGAGAACAAGCCGCCAAATGACAAAGGAGCAAAGGTGGCAGGCACCAGGAGGCAGAGACGACACTGCAGGGTCGACAGAGATTTTCAAGATCTTTAATTCCCCGGAACCCCCGCCCTACCGCGTGCCTCTAACCACCCTGACTTAGTCCCGTTGTGAAAGCTCACTCGTTGGTCCTTGTGCGCCAATTTCTAGGGGTAGAATCACCTTTAAACGCGAGGGGGGAAAAAAACTCCAGTATTTCCCAAACCCATAGCTGCAGCTCAGGGGTTCAATCAGTACTAAAGACCGAGAAAAGGGCTTTCGCGCCTCCTGCGCAGCCCGCTCGCCCGGCCCGCGCGGCAGCACCGCGCCTGGGGCTGCCCAGGTCGCCCCCGCGCCCGAGCCGCCAGTCCCAGGTCCGGCCCCTGCGGCAAAGGGCGCGAGGTGGGACGCGCGGCTGGAGGCCCCCAGCCCTCCCTGCCTCCGGGGCGGGCGCAGGCGGGGCCGTGCGCATTCGCCGCCGCTCGGGGTCCAGGGCAGGCGGGGGAGCCCTGCCCGGTGCCGCGCCTCAAAGGGGACGCGACCGCAGTTTGAGATATCCGGGGACACTGGCCGGACCGACCCTCGTTCACGACACCCTGATTTCACTGGAAGGGGTGGCGGCGGCGGCCGGGGCCGGGACTGGGGGCGTGGGAGGCGGCGCCCGCACACTCACGCCCAGCGCCGCGAGGCGCAAAGCTCGGCCGGGGGAGGGTCCCCAGGGCAGGCGCGCGCCGCACCCGGTTGCCGTGGCAACCCCAGGCGGCTGCGGGAGCCCGGACCGCCGCCGGAAGTGACGCGAGTTCACCTGCCGAGCGGGGGCGGGGGCGCAGAGGTGCCGCCGCCGTAGCCGCCGCGAGCGAGTCGGGAGCGCGCCAGGCGCCGGGAGACGCGGACCCCGAGCGAGAGCCGCCTACCTGCAGCCTCCGCCCTCGGCCCGGCAGCCACCATGGCGCTTCTGCTGCGCTTCGTGCTCCTGTGCGGAGTCGCGGGTGAGTGGGGGCCGCTCGGTCCTCAGCTCCCGCCCAGCCCGGGGGGCGCTCGCAGCCCGCGGCCACCCAGGAACAATGGGGCGTGGGGGAGGGGGCGGGCGCGATTTGGGGGCGCTGCCGCAGTGGTGGCGGGCGGGCGGGATTGCGCTGCGGTGCTTTTGCCCGGCCCGGCGCGGCGCGCGGGAGGGGAAGCGGCGCGGGACGGAGCTGCGCGCGGGGCGTGGGGCGTTCGGGGACCGAGCCCGGGGCGACGGGCGGCGGTGGAGGGGCTCGGGGCGCGGCGTGCCGGGCGCGCTTCCCGGCGCTCCCGGAGCATTCTTGGCCCCAGTGCGGGCTTTGCTTTATTTGCTCGTGCCCTTTCCCTTGTTATCCTCCGCGCGAGTCTGTCCGGCGTTACCCAATCTCAGGAGCCTTGGGCGGCGAGTTTTCAGGTGTGGAGCAGTCCGGGGGGGAGGCTGAATTACAAACGCCATTATTGAATGGGCACTGTGCTGCTCTGTGCCTGGATCGTCCAGGCTACCTCTAGGAAAGAGGCGCTGAGCACACGAACCTGGCCAGTCTCAGTCTGGTAGGGAAGGCTAGCCCACGCAAGAACTGCTAGCTAGACGGTGCATTATGAAGTAGACCGTGGGAAATCAAAAGTAGGTTCCTGCTGAAATGCAGTATTGATTTCTTCATTCCCGAAGGGGCAAAGTGCAAAGGAGAATTTAGTGGCCTTGGTTTTGAGTTTGTAATGAGTTGGTTCATTTTGAAGATGAGATGAGATGACTTGTACAGGGTAATTCCTAAAGGATTTGCCAAGTACATTTTTCGACCGCGCCTTTCTCTGGGAGGAGGAAAAAAAGCAATTAAAAAAATGCGTGGACCATTAGAAGGCATATTCATTTTGACACTTAACAAAACTGATCTGTTTTCATTTCTGTGTTTTAACCAGCTGACCTTGTGGTTGTCAAACTAATCACTTGCTGCATTGTATTATCAAATGATTCATTTAAAAAAAAATCCATAGGTGGGATCCTGGGAGGCACACTTTGTGTAGCCTCCGGAAGGATAATTTTTGTTGTTGTTGTTAAACACCCTGAAGCTGGATTGAGTGGCCTTTTCAGTTGGGATGGCTCTCTGCTTCCTGTTGAAATGTTAATTCCATTGTTGGATGCCATAGCTGTGAGCTTTACTCGCGGGATCACCGTTCTATTAACAAGTCTAATCTTCTATCTGAGCCTATGGCAGTACCTCCACTTTTTTGGCACATATCGTTTAGACTTGGCTGAAATTTCATTTCCAAAGTACACCTTCTGGAAAAGATGAAGGGTCACATAACCAGTTTACATGGTACATTCCCACCTTTGTTTTGTTAAGGCCTAAGTGAAGTTGAGAACACAGTGCCTGTGTTGTTCTCTGGGAATGAAAAAATGTTTTAGACCACAACTAAAGCAGAAAAGTGGAAGAATATAAACCATGTAGAGGAACTTCATTGTTTTTTTCCAAGAACGTTCAGATAATTGTCTGGATTTATTTTTTCTGGAATGCCTCAATTTGATAGGCACAGTCCCAAACAAGGATATTTTTTGATACTTGTAGAGTCATTGCGCTCATACAGTGTACACTAGGGTACAGTGAACATCTCATTAAAGGACTAATGTCTTCAGCTAAACAAGACAACTATTTTTATTCCAATTTTTTCAGCTTAAGAAACAGCTTAAAAATGAATTGATGTATGGCTTTGAGTATTTCTTAGATTTAGAACTGCTTTGCTATGAATATGAACTCAGTCAAGTTCAGGGTTAACATGATTGACTTCTACATGAGCAAAACCAGGAAGAGGCTTTCATGTTAATAAAATTGTAGTACCATCAGTGATAGTTATTCCTCTAGAACTGTCTCTATGTAGGTTTTAAAGAGTTTTGTAGTATATTCTGGTTGCTGATGGGACTCCTTTTGATGCATTTTTTATTGCCTATGTACTTGCAAGTCATACTGGTAATTGTGGTAGTAGTACTAGTAGTAGTAGTAGTAGTCATCATCTTAGTAAAGCAGTGGCAGTAGCAATAAGAGTAAAATCAAACTCCGGATTGAACAGTTATTAGATGGCAGACACTGTTCTAAAGGCAGTACATATACTTACTTAATCTACCAAGCAGCCTTAGAGGTTATTTATTATAATTATCTCTGTTATACAAGTAGAGAAACTGAGGTACAGAGTTGTTATGTAATTTAACTTGCCAAGATTACAGATGTGCTCTTGAATCTGCTTTTGTCACTATGCTATTCTGTCTCTAAAGCTGCCACTTGCCTTTTGATTACCTCTAATCACCATCCTAATTTCTACCATTGGTCATCTGTCACTTATTAAGAACCTTCTGTTGGCTTGATTATATGCCAAGACTGAATGCTTTATTATTAGCTCTTTAATTTTATGGTCTTAGTTTGAGACATTGTGAGGGCACTAGGCTTAGATTGGTGTCGTAAACTGCTGTGACTCATGTACCTGCAGCATCAGCATTATCTAGGGATCTTGTTAAAGTTTGGGGTGCTGTTTTTCAAATTGCCAACAAGAGTGGAACTAAAAGTGTTCTCCCTACCACTTGTTAGCCATTTGATGGTGGCCACAGTCCCATCATCTCTGTGTGCCTCAGTTGTTTTATGTGTCAAGAATGAGGATCCTGGGAAGGGGGAGGGTTGGTCAAAGGATACAAAATTTCAGTTAGATGGGAGGAATAAATTCAAGAAATCTATCGTATAATACAGTGACTATAATTAATAACAGTGTATTCTTGAAAATTGCTAAGAAAGTAGCTTTTAAGTGTTCTCACCACAAAAAATGTATGCAAGGTAATGCATACATATGTTAACTCAGTTGATTTATACATCCCACAATGTATACATATTTCAAAATAACATGTTGCATAAGGTAAATATATGTAATTTTTGTCAATGAAAAGTAGCAAACCAAAAAAAAGAAACGAGGATCCTACCCTTTATTGAGTAAAGTTCAATATTGTTTCACTTTTCCTATAGTATTTTCCTTTACATAAAAATTTACAATGATTAGGTGTGAGCTTTATCCTGTGCATATGCCTCCATCTTAATATTAATGTTTTTATTCCTGCCATTACACTACCATCAGAACAAAAATTGCCTCTCCTCCAAAGCAAGACTACTTACATTGGCTCTTTACTGAGTCTGTTGTGGAGTCTCCATCAAGTATCCAGTTTATCTCCTTGCACTAGGTCAGAGAACTGGGCCATTACCTGTATTCATAGTTAAGGTCCCTGTCTGAGCTTGTGGCACCTGGAAGATGGCTAGTGTTCAGCAAGTGTTTTTTGCATGATGGCAAGTTTTCAGGTTCTTTGCCACTAGGCCTGTGTATATGACATAGCTTTCCTTAGTTCCATCTTTTACTCCCTTCTCATCCTATAAAGGTGGTACTTACAGTGGATCATTGCACTAGCCATGTCTTACTTAGTTTTTAGTCTAAAGAAGTTGAGCTTCTGCTTTATCTCTGACCTTTTGTTCTATTTACTTCCCTGCTTCGGTTGCCAAAGATTAACAGTAACCTATGTACCAAACCTACTTATCTCTTTGGAGCTCCTTGATACTGGTTTCGGTTCTTTCCCACCCTGTTGACCTGCCTTTCACTGCCTTCTACAATAGGTGTCTTGAATGTCAGACTTCCCCAAGATTTGGCCCATAGCCTCTTTTCAGTGTCCATCGTTAATGTGGATTATGTCATCTAGCCATCACTGTAATCTCCAAGTAATTGATAGTAAATTAAAAATATTTCCAGCTCAGCCCCAGAATTCTCCTTTGAATTCTGGGCCACTATTTCCAACTACTTAACTTTCAACTTCCATTTGAGTACTTAAGACTTTCCAAGTCTCCAGTTGAACTCACCTGTTAATTAAGTGGTCTGTTCATTCAGCTGTTTAGAGCCTACTATGTTTTATTCCTGTGCTAGTGCTCTACAGTAGATATGACATTGCAAGTTGCAAAAGGTTTGGTAGAACATTCCAAGCAGATGGATGGTATAGCTTTTGTGAAGACATGGAGATCTGAAGGGCATGAAGTGTCTTGGGAGTTGAGTAGTTCAGTGCCATATAAAGTATCAAACCAACATGACTTAAACTTTGAATGTTCATCTGAGTCATTCTTATAAGGACATTTGGGGTGGGGTCTGTGATTTTTTATTTTAACAAGTTCCACATGATGTCACTGCTGACCCCACTTTGTGTAGGCAAAGATCTAAAGGTTGTGCTGAGAGCTCTGTGAGGGATGATAGGTCAGGTTATGCTTCCATAACCCCAACAGCTCTAAGAAGCTTGTGGAAGTGTTGAAAAAGTGAAGTTATACAGTGAGGTTTATTTTCTTAAATGGTGCAGTTCTCAAGGCAGGTAAAACTGATAGATCTAACAGGAATCTCTGGGGTGATTTGGACATAAACTGTCTCCCTTTAAACACAGCAGGACAGTATTGGGCTTCCTTATTGATCGGGAAAGCTTTTCTGAGAAAGATGCAATGGAACTCTATGTCTGGTTGGTTGAATGAGTGGCCAGAAAAAGTTGGAGAGAAGCAATAAGATTTCTGGCTTGAGTATATGGCAAGGTCACTAACTTCTAGCGAATAAAGAAAAGGGCAGGTTTTAGGAAGATGACAATGAACTTAAGTTTGGACAGGTAGTATGTGAGGTGCCTGAGGGGAATGGAAGTAAGAAATACCAGGTAAAAAAGTATAAACAAAGGACTGGATCTTGGGAGAGAGGCAGACATTGGTCATATAAATTTGGGAATTCACTGTTGATAGTGGCATCTGTATAAGGTTAACTAGGAAATGCAGGTAGGACTAAAAGAGAAGGTGAAACATGAGGTGGGGGAGACATCACCCTCTAATAAGTAGAAGAGCAAGAAGGAGTGGTAAGGAATGTAGGAGAACTAGAGGGTGAGACTGTGCTATAGACAGATGCAGAAATGAGGCCAGTGGGTCTTAGCATTAGACCATTAGGA